ACGATTCCGGAAACATCAAATGTTTCCAGGACTAGTACTGCTCTATTGGAAAGTGAGAAATCTAATACAAAACTCCAGGCCAGTCCCAGAGGTCGGGTCCGAGTACCCTTGCAGGCTCGCAAAAACAACGATTCTCAAAATATACCCACCCATATTCCTTCAAAAATTCACGATTCCGGAAACGTCAAATGTTTCCAGGACTAGTACTGCTCTATTGGAAAGTGAGAAATCTAATACAAAACTCCAGGCCAGTCCCAGAGGTCGGGTCCGAGTACCTTTGCAATGGCTCGCAAAAAACAACGATTCTCAATATATACCCACCCATATTCCTTCAAAAATTCACGATTCCGGAAACGTCAAATGTTTCCAGGACTAGTACTGCTCTATTGGAAAGTGAGAAATCTAATACAAAACTCCAGGCCAGTCCCAGAGGTCGGGTCCGAGTACCTTTGCAATGCCTCGCAAAAACAACGATTCTCAATATATACCCACCCATATTCCTTCAAAAATTCACGATTCCAGAAACGTCAAATGTTTCCAGAACTAGTACTGCTCTATTGGAAAGTGAGAAATCTAATACAAAACTCCAGGCCAGTTCCAGAGGTCGGGTCCGAGTACCCTTGCAGGCTCGCAAAAACAACGATTCTCAAAATATACCCACCCATATTCCTTCAAAAATTCACGATTCCGGAAACGTCAAATGTTTCCAGGACTAGTACTGCTCTATTGGAAAGTGAGAAATCTAATATAAAACTCCAGGGCAGTCCTACAGGTCGGGTCCGAGTACCTTTGCAATGGCTGGCAAAAACAACGATTCTCAATATATACCCACCCAATTCCTTCAAAAATTCACGATTCCGGAAACATCAAATGTTTCCAGGACTAGTACTGCTCTATTGGAAAGTGAGAAATCTAATACAAAACTCCAGGCCAGTCCCAGAGGTCGGGTCCGAGTACCTTTGCAATGGCTCGCAAAAACAACGATTCTCAATATATACCCAACCATATTCCTTCAAAAATTCACGATTCCGGAAACGTCAAATGTTTTCAGGACTAGTACTGCTCTATTGGAAAGTGAGAAATCTAATACAAAACTCCAGGCCAGTCCCAGAGGTCGGGTCCGAGTACCCTTGCAGGCTCGCAAAAACAACGATTCTCAAAATATACCCACCCATATTCCTTCAAAAATTCACGATTCCGGAAACGTCAAATGTTTCCAGGACTAGTACTGCTCTATTGGAAAGTGAGAAATCTAATACAAAACTCCAGGCCAGTCCCAGAGGTCGGGTTCGAGTACCTTTGCAATGGCTCGCAAAAAACAACGATTCTCACTATATACCCACCCATATTCCTTCAAAACTTCACGATTCCGGAAACGTCAAATGTTTCCAGGACTAGTACTGCTCTATTGGAAAGTGAATCTAATACAAAACTCCAGGCCAGTCCCAGAGGTCGGGTCCGAGTACCTTTGCAATGCCTCGCAAAAACAACGATTCTCAATATATACCCACCCATATTCCTTCAAAAATTCACGATTCCGGAAACGTCAAATGTTTCCAGGACTAGTACTGCTCTATTGGAAAGTGAGAAATCTAATACAAAACTCCAGGCCAGTCCCAGAGGTCGGGTCCGAGTACCCTTGCAGGCTCGCAAAAACAACGATTCTCAAAATATACCCACCCATATTCCTTCAAAAATTCACGATTCCGGAAACGTCAAATGTTTCCAGGACTAGTACTGCTCTATTGGAAAGTGAGAAATCTAATACAAAACTCCAGGCCAGTCCCAGAGGTCGGGTCCGAGTACCTTTGCAATGGCTCGCAAAAAACAACGATTCTCAATATATACCCACCCATATTCCTTCAAAAATTCACGATTCCGGAAACGTCAAATGTTTCCAGGACTAGTACTGCTCTATTGGAAAGTGAGAAATCTAATACAAAACTCCAGGCCAGTCCCAGAGGTCGGGTCCGAGTACCTTTGCAATGCCTCGCAAAAACAACGATTCTCAATATATACCCACCCATATTCCTTCAAAAATTCACGATTCCAGAAACGTCAAATGTTTCCAGAACTAGTACTGCTCTATTGGAAAGTGAGAAATCTAATACAAAACTCCAGGCCAGTTCCAGAGGTCGGGTCCGAGTACCCTTGCAGGCTCGCAAAAACAACGATTCTCAAAATATACCCACCCATATTCCTTCAAAAATTCACGATTCCGGAAACGTCAAATGTTTCCAGGACTAGTACTGCTCTATTGGAAAGTGAGAAATCTAATATAAAACTCCAGGGCAGTCCTACAGGTCGGGTCCGAGTACCTTTGCAATGGCTGGCAAAAACAACGATTCTCAATATATACCCACCCAATTCCTTCAAAAATTCACGATTCCGGAAACATCAAATGTTTCCAGGACTAGTACTGCTCTATTGGAAAGTGAGAAATCTAATACAAAACTCCAGGCCAGTCCCAGAGGTCGGGTCCGAGTACCTTTGCAATGCCTCGCAAAAACAACGATTCTCAATATATACCCACCCATATTCCTTCAAAAATTCACGATTCCAGAAACGTCAAATGTTTCCAGGACTAGTACTGCTCTATTGGAAAGTGAGAAATCTAATATAAAACTCCAGGGCAGTCCTACAGGTCGGGTCCGAGTACCTTTGCAATGGCTGGCAAAAACAACGATTCTCAATATATACCCACCCATATTCCTTCAAAAATTCACGATTCCGGAAACATCAAATGTTTCCAGGACTAGTACTGCTCTATTGGAAAGTGAGAAATCTAATACAAAACTCCAGGCCAGTCCCAGAGGTCGGGTCCGAGTACCCTTGCAGGCTCGCAAAAACAACGATTCTCAAAATATACCCACCCATATTCCTTCAAAAATTCACGATTCCGGAAACGTCAAATGTTTCCAGGACTAGTACTGCTCTATTGGAAAGTGAGAAATCTAATACAAAACTCCAGGCCAGTCCCAGAGGTCGGGTCCGAGTACCTTTGCAATGGCTCGCAAAAAACAACGATTCTCAATATATACCCACCCATATTCCTTCAAAAATTCACGATTCCGGAAACGTCAAATGTTTCCAGGACTAGTACTGCTCTATTGGAAAGTGAGAAATCTAATACAAAACTCCAGGCCAGTCCCAGAGGTCGGGTCCGAGTACCTTTGCAATGCCTCGCAAAAACAACGATTCTCAATATATACCCACCCATATTCCTTCAAAAATTCACGATTCCAGAAACGTCAAATGTTTCCAGAACTAGTACTGCTCTATTGGAAAGTGAGAAATCTAATACAAAACTCCAGGCCAGTTCCAGAGGTCGGGTCCGAGTACCCTTGCAGGCTCGCAAAAACAACGATTCTCAAAATATACCCACCCATATTCCTTCAAAAATTCACGATTCCGGAAACGTCAAATGTTTCCAGGACTAGTACTGCTCTATTGGAAAGTGAGAAATCTAATATAAAACTCCAGGGCAGTCCTACAGGTCGGGTCCGAGTACCTTTGCAATGGCTGGCAAAAACAACGATTCTCAATATATACCCACCCAATTCCTTCAAAAATTCACGATTCCGGAAACATCAAATGTTTCCAGGACTAGTACTGCTCTATTGGAAAGTGAGAAATCTAATACAAAACTCCAGGCCAGTCCCAGAGGTCGGGTCCGAGTACCTTTGCAATGGCTCGCAAAAACAACGATTCTCAATATATACCCAACCATATTCCTTCAAAAATTCACGATTCCGGAAACGTCAAATGTTTTCAGGACTAGTACTGCTCTATTGGAAAGTGAGAAATCTAATACAAAACTCCAGGCCAGTCCCAGAGGTCGGGTCCGAGTACCCTTGCAGGCTCGCAAAAACAACGATTCTCAAAATATACCCACCCATATTCCTTCAAAAATTCACGATTCCGGAAACGTCAAATGTTTCCAGGACTAGTACTGCTCTATTGGAAAGTGAGAAATCTAATACAAAACTCCAGGCCAGTCCCAGAGGTCGGGTTCGAGTACCTTTGCAATGGCTCGCAAAAAACAACGATTCTCACTATATACCCACCCATATTCCTTCAAAACTTCACGATTCCGGAAACGTCAAATGTTTCCAGGACTAGTACTGCTCTATTGGAAAGTGAATCTAATACAAAACTCCAGGCCAGTCCCAGAGGTCGGGTCCGAGTACCTTTGCAATGCCTCGCAAAAACAACGATTCTCAATATATACCCACCCATATTCCTTCAAAAATTCACGATTCCGGAAACGTCAAATGTTTCCAGGACTAGTACTGCTCTATTGGAAAGTGAGAAATCTAATATAGAACTCCAGGGCAGTCCTACAGGTCGGGTCCGAGTACCTTTGCAATGGCTGGCAAAAACAACGATTCTCAATATATACCTACCCATATTCCTTCAAAAATTCACGATTCCGGAAACATCAAATGTTTCCAGGACTAGTACTGCTCTATTGGAAAGTGAGATATCTAATACAAAACTCCAGGGCAGTCCTAGAGGTCGGGTCCGAGTACCTTTGCAGGCTCGCAAAAACAACGATTCTCAAAATATACCCACCCATATTCCTTCAAAACTTCACGATTCCGGAAACGTCAAATGTTTTCAGGACTAGTACTGCTCTATTGGAAAGTGAGAAATGTAATACAAAACTCCAGGGCAGTCCTAGAGGTCCGCGGCTCAGCCGCTGCAGTGCTCCACCCCCATCATTAAGGTCGCGGCTGAGCCGGTAAGCCATATTCAGTCCGCGGCTCGGCCGGTGCAATGATATTGACATGAATTAAGGTCCGCGGCTCGGCCGCACTCCGGCCACGCCCACAAATTAAGGCCGCGGACGGGCCGGAAAGGCCTTTTGAGGTCGCGGCTCGCCCGGTCCCAGTGTCTGAGTAATGTGAGAACCATTGCAGAGTTTAGAGCCATGACGATGACAAAAACAGCACATCCGCGCTTTTTGCGTATGATGCACTTGAATTTATGAGATTTATTGGAAGAATCAGGTTGCTCGAACATATGATCCGCATAGACATAAGTGTGAGCAGAATGGCGAGAGCATATCACAATTTTAACGCGATTGCAAAGCTGGTAGGGGTCAGCATAGAGACAGAGCTTTCATAAATGAGCAAATTCAGCACTCGCAGATATATAGCATGTTTGTAGTCAGGCAGAAATCGCAAACGAAGAGATTGTTCCCTATCAAAATAATTCATTCCTTACCCGCTTAGTAAATTTGAAGTCTTTGATGGTCATTTGCAATGAGGTTAATCTAATAAGGTAATATCAAGTGTCAGTCAACATTACATCAGCTATACAAAAATCAAGCAAAGGAGCCATCTTTCGTACATCCAGATTAATTCAAATATCAGTTGGGTGCTGCTGTTGCAATCCTCCATTTCTGCATACAGTCGTAGCAATAGACGTGACCAGTTTGATGTCCCTGTCGTGACCTCCAGAGGCTTCCTTCAGATTATGCATGGCGCGACGGCAACCCTAGATACTTATGTAATTTTTGATTGCCCTCAGGTGTAGATGCAAAACACTCAAACACTGAACTCACTATGCTGCAAAAATAAGTCGCTATTTCCCTCTCGTGTGCTGAGCTTGCTACGTTGTTTTTACAAGAGTTTGTGCATCTAATGGTAAATCTCGTGTGCTTGTCAAAAAACAGGTAGTCGAAATTACCTGGACAAAGTAGCTATCATACTGTAAATGTCTATAGCTGCGTCCGCGACACGGATCAATTCGTATTGCCGGTCTAAATTTTGAAAAAAAAATCAAATTGCACAGCCGTACATGGAACAACATCATTTTCAGCAACCTAGTATCAGTTTTCAAATCTTCTTCAATATCGCATCAGAAGGAGCGACTCAGAGGTCGCGTGCACTCATCGCCCCTCCTGTCTTCTGCGTAAAATCTAGATTGCATCAAGTAATCAACTGTTTTTCGGACATTTCTAAAATCTCCTTCAAGATACTTAATTGTTCAATTGTAAGAATTTTTCATTGATTATCAAATCATCTATCCTTCCTCCTTACTCTTCGTCCTTCTACCTTCATTCCGTTACAAAAAATGCGTTTCACTTAGACTCAATTGAAAAAAGATAAATGAAAGAATTTTGTTGCGGCTGTTCTGAAATCAATATGATGTATCGGCTCAAAGAAAAATCCAGAGAGATTGAAGGAGGGAGGGGGGAGGGAAGGCCGAGGAGTTGGAGGGGACAGAGGAGATCATGTCGCCGGCTAAAATATTTGCGGCACCTTTACATAAAAAGCTCGTGCCCGCTGTCGGTAAGGGTAGATTGGAGCCTACTGGCGACTTACTCGTCTTCTCCCCGGAAGGAGGCAATGATCACAATAATACAGTAGGTTATCATTGCCCCACCGGCACAAGCAACCATCGAGGCCTTAAGGCATGGGAAATTGCCCATAGGACAGCTTGTCTACGCCTCGCTCGAGCGAGGCGTCACGAATCGCTGAGGTTGTGACGCTCTCATTTAAGCAGCCTATACAAGTCTTTTAAACCGACCTATAATTCCTTTTCTGTATTTCATCAAAAGTTTTTCGATAGTTTTTCCAAATTCTTTGATACATGAGTCCAGTTCCTTGGCTGATTCCATAAGCGCAGGATCAACAACGGCCTCAAAGTCTCCACCAGTGCTTCCGCTGGAAGATTTCAGTTGCGATTGCTAGTACAAACCTATTTTTGAACTTACCCTGTTGCTCGCTTTATTACTTGCCCAAATAGTGTTCCGATTCCTCCCGCTTTGATGTCTTTCGCGACTTGTTGAAGATGTTTGCCAGCATGTTGTGCTCCAGTAAGGGCCACGAAAAGTCTCATAACATCATTTGCACCCTCGAAGATTCTGTACAAAAGTAATATCTTTCTAGTAGCCACCAGCGGAAGCACTTACCTAAATATTCGAAGATCTCTCATTACTCGTTCCAAGCCAGTCTCAGTCATAAAACCCATGCCACCATGAAGCTGAATAGCTTCATCGCATACCCACCAGGCGTTTTCCTTGAGAAGAAAAACTATATGTTGTCGCTTACAGAAGTCTAGGTTTTTTCTTTGTCGGCTTTGTCAAATTTTTGAAGGTAACGTTGGAGATATGCATTATTTGCTCATATGCAAAGGCGGCCCTACTTTTAACTCACCGAAGCAGCAACTTTGCCGATAGCAGCTTCTAGCTGATAGTCCTGAATACCGCGGTCCATGTTGGAAGCGAGTAGATAAACAATTGACTCAGTAGCGTAATGACGAGCAATCATATTGGTGAGTTTTTCCTAAAAGATTTTTTAGTAGAAGGATAACCTCTAATATCTGTATTATTTCCTGCAAATCGCCGATGTTTCAAAACTGACAAATCCCTTCTTCAAATGGGAAGGAGCTCGTAGCGAAAGGGTTTGAGAAAAAATATGTGAAGCAGGTTTGTAAGCCTTTTATAAAAGTTCGAGAAAAGATTCCGACTGATGGATGGCTAAGTGACGCTCATTAAATCAAAAATGTTCGGCTGTGGCCGAGCCGACCCACCGTCAGCTTACTTGTCAACTTGTCGACTCAAACTCGACTGAAGCAGTTTTACTATGGGTTTTTGATCGCAGCTTCCTAGAACTCCACCACACTTGTGCTTATTGACAAATGCTTATAAAGCAACAGAACCAAATGTCTTACGCTGAAAATGGAGATACCTGAACATTGAAAAAATCCTGCAGTTTTTGACCAAATTGTACTCGTTGTGTTACGTGATCTACCTGGAAAGAAAAGAAAATCCGAGTGATGTGAAAACTTTAACTAATCATGTTCATTCTAATCGTATTTATCTTGACACGTTTTTTCTCAATGAAGTTTCACGGCTAGTGCGGCACGGGTGCTGCGCGGCCGCCGTCTAATTGGCGCCGCGCTCTCAGACAATCGTGAAGACTTCCGGGGGAAACTGAACTTCTAAAACTTTGGGGAGGACACTCCCATTGGAGCTGCCAGGTAGGCCGGGGCCCACTCACACGCCCAATAGGAGCGCCCTCCCGGAAGATTCAGAAGTTTAGTTCCCCCCGGGTCAGTTGCGATGTCTGAGCTTGCAAGCGTTTTCTCAGAGCGTTATCTTACGTCTGCCACCTCTACCTGCTGGGGTGGGAAAATGCCTAGAAGGTACGGCCGCGAACGCGGCAGATGTTAGTCGTGTGAGACCTGAGCCGCACGAGCCAGCGACAGTGTCATTGGGACAGAGGGTGTATATGCGGTGTTGAAGTTCGACTTCGCTCTAAAAAGGGTCCATGCAACGTTGATGAGGTCCAAAGGGAGTCACGCATGCTGAGCTTGATTCAGTAGAAATCAGGGTTACGCGTAAAAAATCCCCTATTTTGAGTCTACTAGTTGCATTTGTTTTCTCTAGAAACACAGAATTTGTGAACCTTTATCGAAGGTCGCCTTAGCTGAGGAAATGTGCACTTGAATTCGAGTAAAGGCTAGTTCCAGACGAAGGCGGCTGTCTATTTACGCGAAGCGTGTGCGGGCATGCGAGCGCTAGTGATATAACATGCTCGAGTGCGGCGTTGGCTCCCGCACCGCATGACGAACCGATAGCGTTCGTCAAGAATCAGCCTTTGTTCTCTCAATGAAGGGAGGAAATAATAGATTTTTTAGAATTCCTTTCTCAAATTAAAAATGATAGAGTGATTGTAACTTCACAACAAAGGCAAACTTAATCAGTTGAAAAGTGTCTTTTTGTTAATCTCCACAGAATACAATTACGATTCACGCGAATCTCCGTGGATGCATTCATATAACCCAGAACGGCAAATCTCAAAATGTTTTCAGTCTCTGTCTTCTTTTCTCGCTACCGTAGACGCTGGAGACTATCTGAAGAATGAGTTGATGGCAAGAATGTCATTGAGTCAAACTGTTGCGAGAAAATAAGATTAAAAGCACTTAGATTTACGAAATCATTATCGTACCATTCAGCAAAGTATAGTTAAGGATGAAAACTCACGGTTTTTTGTATGCAAAATTTCATGGCTCCAGTGCATGCCGCCGGAATTCCAAAACGGCCATTGTTGAGGATATTCATGGCCACTTTGAATCCCTCACCTTCGCCACCAAGAAGATTCTCAACAGGAATCTAGAAAAGATTTTCACGCTGCTTGCCAAAAATTGACATTGTATCAGTTTAAATCGAATGTTTGTCCGCACCAATTTTGCAAGATTGTAGAACCTTCACATTCTTACGTTTTTATGGATATTGATTTTATTGAGTAAACTGTGCTCTTTCAATTAGCACTATGCCTTGTCTTCAACAAGGCTTGGTTACAGAGAAGCAATGAAAATAGGAAATCAACCGAGCGGCGATTTTGCGCACTGTAGAAATTGAAAAATCACTCACAATCAGTAAAACTTACAAGGGAGGTCCGTTTGGTCGGAGTGGCCTTTTCACATGAAATTGATACGACTATAAAGACATCAAACGTGATTTCAAATCTGCCTTCGTTATCTGCCGAGCGCCTCTGGGCGTCGGATCATGAGAGCTTTCTGATTTGAAAAACTATATGCATAATTAGCACAAAATTCGTCAGAATTGCTTAAATGGTCCAATGTTGATTATCAGAGCACTCCACTTGAACATCCCTTTTGTGCAAAGCACTCATACTTAACACTGCTCTATTTGAGCGCTGAAAAGACCGTATAATCTAATTTTACCTAGATTATGCGTTCATTTTTTGCACCAAGAAAATATTCATAACTCGACATGCAGAAGCGCTCGGCAGCCAATGAAATCAGATTTGGAATCAGCGTTTGATGAAGACTCATTCGAAAAGGCCACTTCGACTAATCGGACCTCCCTTGTTAGAACAGCTAGTCATAAGCAGGGTTGAGCAAGAGGTCAGGCACAAGTCTTTCCAAAACGACCCCCCCCCCCCCCCAGTGAAAGCCCCTAAACGACCCCTCTGCTTCACCTCCAGGACCTCAGGCTGTGATAATTCGAAGAGATCAGCCGTTTTTGGGAGGTTCTTGTTTTTTGGAGGTCTGTAGGTCGACTTTCTGCGATTGCACAGCACACGCAACTTGACGGCAAGTTTTGGATTTTGGATAGTTTTACTTTTAGAGCTATAATTCCCACAGGGGTGTATTGTTTGGCTCCAAATTTGCAGTATTGCAAGAAGAGGCTTTGAGTTCAATACTCATAGCAGAAATGGAGCGATTTTTAGATTTTGAAAACAAGTTAATCGGGTCAGGCGCAACCCCTCAAAAGCTCAGGCGGCCTGACCTTTTGTGGGGTTGCGCCTGACCGATTAACTTTATCATTGAAGAAGCTTTTTTATTCAAGTTTTATGTGAATCGCTAGCACAACCCTCGAAGATTCCACACTAAGTGTTTGGACTTGATTCGACTTGTTTCGGCCTTGTGGTAATCCGTGGAGTTGAAGCAGTCATGGCGAAAAACGCGCCGGTCGGGATTTTGGCATTATTTCTTACTCCACTATTTGCAAGCGATACAAAGCGCGATTTTTAGCCTGGACTAGTAGGGAACAATACTTTGTTACGAGTACAAAAAAATTGACTTTTCTCACTTTTGAAAACAAGTTAATCATGTTTGAAAATCACGCTTTTTAGTCGTTGAGAAACACTAGATAATGCAGTAGATAATGGTTTGTAGGGTTCATAGAGGTAATTTGACGTGCTCGGAAATGATACCCATTTCACCCAGCAAGCTTCCTTGATGAATTTACAATATGTCAAGGTAAAAGATGAAGATTTGAGTTTTGGCCGAAACTTTGATTGTGGAATCAATCAGTATGCTGTTTAAGACCGTTCATTCCTTCAGTACTGGTGAGGTCGCGATATCCACTAAACTAGCGCTTTTCTTCTTCACCTTAATCGTAGTATCTCCTCAATCGAACGAATTCGATTCCTAATCACGACCCCCCCCCCCCTCTGTCTTACCCCAGTACGACCCCCCAGGTCGGGCGCGCCTGACCCCACGCTCAACCCTGGTCATAAGTATTGAGACCTCTGTTCTAGTAATATATCCCATAATTTGTTACCGTTTTTACTTTCTCCTGCAATAACTTATATTCTTCTCGTTTCTTAAATAGATTTTGCGGTACCATCTGACGAGCACAAGCTCTACAAGTTAGCGCCTAACATTCGCTCAAAGTTTGTTCTACATGAAGTTCGACGCCTAAATCTAGGGAGATTTAATGCCCAAAAACTCGAGAAAAAAATTGTACCTCCGCTTAGAAAAGGTGCACTCTTTATATTTAGTATCTATCTGTTAATTTCTTATTTTTCTATGGCTACCTAGTGAAACAACACACCAAAACACGCCCTAAATACGAAAGAGTCGTCTTTTTTCGCGCTTTTGCTCCTCGATATTTCTCGAAAACTTTTGCCTGTAAAAGACCAAAAATTTGTGGTTGAACTTCTAAAGGTCCATACAATAAAAATACCTATGTAGAACACATTGGACTGGATTCAGAATCCGCTCCAGAAAAATGAGATATGGCGATGCGACGGAAGTTTTAGCAAACTCCAGCTGTCGCAGTGATTATTTTCCAATTATGAGTATAGTGCAAATGAAGAATACTTCATGCCATATATTCTCTTGATATTTGGTAAAGGTGAAGGCACCGACCTTGACATTTTCGAAATGGACTTCTGTTGTGTTAGATCCTTTGATGCCCATTTTTTTCTCTTGTGGTCCATTAGTGACTCCACCAAAGCTACGTTCAACGATAAATGCAGATACTTTATCTTTGGTTGTACCATCCGGCTGCTTTATTGGAGTCTAGAATCGAGATGCTGAGATGTTAGCTGCAAGTAATACACACAATTCATGCAACTAACATACCTGGGCAAATACGGTAAAAATCTCGGCAAATCCTCCATTGCTGATCCATATTTTACCACCATTCAAAATGTAATGCTTTCCGTCAGGGCTTTTCTCCGCACGAGTACGAATTGACTAAAAGAAAAGTTTTCTGATAACTTTTATGTTTCAATTTTCTTTAACTTGGGCACTGCATATTCTTCAAAATTGCTTGTGCCGAACAGGTTTGTTATGGTGGGATCTTTATTCAAATGGCCTAACGTTTCGGCACGTCCGCCGTCCTCAGAGCTTAAAAACGACACAGAGCATCATTCACGACACCAGACAACCAAATGCCTCTTCTAGCTTAGCTAGTTTCAACCTTTTTCTAATTCAGTCCGTGAAAAATCTCGAAACCGAGATGAACCCACCGTCTAAATCACCGCTATATAAAGTGTCCGCGCCGGAAGGAAATGAAAGTACGACCGGAAATATGTGACAGAAGCGGACTTTAAGGACACACTTTATATAGCGGTGGTGTAGACGGTGGTTTCATCTCGGCTTCGAGAATTTTTAAGGATTGAACTAGAAAGGTCGAAGCTAGCTAAGCTAGGAGAGACATTTGGTGGTCTGGTGTCGTGGATGATGCTTTGTGTCGTTTTTAGGCCTCTGAGAGCGGCGAACGTGCCGAAACGTTAGGCCATTCGAATAAAGATCCCACCTAACAAACCTGTTCGCACAAGCAAAATTGAAGAAAATGTCTATTGGTGGGGACACTATTCAAACATGCAAGCTAGAAAGGTTCAAGTGTCATGGGTTCTCAATTTATCTCATGACTTGCGAATTGAATCTCTTGGCGTCGAAATTGTTGCTCGTGGCCCATTGTTAGGAGCCATTTTTTATTGAACAAACGAATATCAAGTGATGGACTTTGAAAGTTATATATCAATAGTCTTCCCAAATGAGTTCACATAGTTATTCCACTTCTGTTTGAGTTGAGAATGACGAGTGTACAAGTGAACCGAAATTTACAAGGACCGATCACGCGTTCAAAGTCGAAAACTTGCACGATTTGGCACTGTAGAATACAGTCTGAATGTTCAAGCGCTCGAACTCCTCGAATGATGATTCGATTATGTACGGATACAAACTGTCTCAATGACGAAGTTGCAGCGCCTCGGATTTGCGCCGCGTTCGCAAACGTATTCTTCAAATAATAATTTAACGTGTCCATTAACGTATCTCCCATGCCCTCGAACACTCACAATGGAACAGCTTGTACCCAACCGCAACTATTCGCTGATCGCAAAAAGTAACGTCTTGACTCATAGTCATCTCGACGCCTTGAAAAGTAATATATATTTCGCGCAATCAATTGAATTTAGTCGCGTTTTACTGCCTTTAACATATTAGGTTGTCCTGAAAATTTTGTCCGTTTTTTCAAACTACTATAAAACCTCGCGCAATAGAGACCTGGATGAGTTTCAACATGCATTGGATGCAGTATTTCCTTCTATTATATTTCTTAAGGATACATTTTCAAAGCATAATCTTGTCTGCTTTTTTTTGATAATTGCCAAAATTCTCCACCCGTCAATTCTATCTGCTCAAAGTTAGGCTAATCTTTGAAAATTGCATTCCAAAGTTTCGGAAAGGGTTGAGTATGGGTCAAATAGAGCAATTCTCTCACTACAAGGCAATATTCTTAAATTCTCTTAATCTGCTTTTCTAGGCTTGGAAAAATTATTTCTTCAGAGGTCTTATTTTTTAGCAAAGTCATGAAACATGCAACTGCGGCGAATACACGAAATTTTTGAAGTTTCTGCGAATCGGAACATGATTCTTATGAAAAGTATTTATGCAACATAACCAAGTTTTTGATTTGCTTTGAGAAAACAGCTTTTTGGGGCTTTCGGCACTTTTACGTGGTAAGCGTAATCAAAGGCCGCGGTTTTCATTAGATAAATAATTATAACAGACTTGGTAAACTTGGTCCATGTAATCTAAAATGAGTACAATGTAGCCAAAAGTTTGCTCTACGTAGCACTTACCAGCGCCTCCAAAAACATCAGGATGAAAATTTTCAAAAATCAGGAAAGATTTAACGTTACTGCTGAGCTGCTCAAAAAGCCATGGCAATAACATTGCAAGGGGTAAATCAGAGAGCAAATATAGCTGTAAGAAAGAGGATGAAAATCTGAATAAGAAGTCCATGGATTGGTGTTTTGGAATTTTTATTGAGTGATGAAATAAACGGACAAAACCTTCAGGACAACCTAATACAGGGTGTCCCAAAAAATGTTTCGAACGTTTGATCGTTAATATCTCTCTTCCCAAGAAGTCTTTTGCCTTGCTTCAGGTACCGTTTTGTAGAGCTGGCTTCAACTTAGATTTGCATTATAAAACGAATCACCCATCTCTCTTCATTACTGTAGGATTACGGTAGAAACTTGAAACATATGGTATCAATATGGAAAAAGCTGCCTTTTCAAAAATTTTCAAAATAATGTGAAAACATGTGTAATAGGGTTTTACGCTGAGTTCAATGCTAAACTATTCACAAGGTTACGAAGCTTTCTAAACGGTTTAATCGCACTTTTTAAGAACATTGAAAAAATGGCCGCTACCTCTTATCTGGCATAACTCTTCAATGAAGCATCATAACAAGTTGGGAACTTTACAGTTATAATCAACAACTCTAATTAGCCTAGTGTAAAAGTTTTCAGGCTGTTTTGTTTCTTTTTTGAGGCAAAATATGGCCTTTCATGGCTCAAAACCCTCTTTGAAGTTTCTACCGTAATCCTACAGTAACGAAGAGAGATGGGTGATTCGTTTTATAATGCAAATCTAAGTTGAAGCCAGCTCTATAAAACGGTACCTGAAGCAAAGCAAAAGACTTCTTAGGAAGAGAGATATTAACGATCAAACGTTCGAAACATTTTTTTGGGACACCCTGTATGTTAGGCCCATGTGACACAGATTTTTAAGCCACTTATACTGACTTATGCAGATTAACTACAAATCATATGTTGTATTGAGTCAGTTGGATTAAAAAATGATTGACTGAGGACATGATGGTCAACCAGTAGCACACCCCCATGTCTGTGACGAAAGTGATTTTATTACCATCAACCATGTCCATAGTAATGAACTGAATTCTGTCATATACCTATTGCAATGGAAATGGACAGATCTTGAAACTCACATTTGCATCAGAACCGCTACTAGGTTCTGTAAGACAAAAAGCCGCAAATTTCCGGCCAGTAGCCAAATCTGGCAGATACTTCGCTTTCTGTGCTTCAGTTCCAAACAGAAGAATGCCTTTGTAACCGATGGACTGAACAATGCATTGATCGTGAAATATGGAATTGGAACAAAAGCACTGACACACCTGATGAGCGCCCATTACGACTCCAAGTGCGAGATCGTGCGAACCAACAATCTCCGCCATCTTCGCCATTTGACTATTATTCATACCAACACCTTCGTACTCCGGTGGGACTAGCGCACCAAAAGCGCCGAGTTCGCTGAACTGCTTTAGCACTTCCTTTGGAATTTCCATCTTTTCGTCGTTTCTGAATGCCCAGCATTTTCCACGAGATAACACGAAAAAATTTAAGCTAGAAATTACAGAAATCATTCTGCAGACTACTGCAAGAAGAGCGTATTGAAGTATACACTTCCAACCGTTTACATAAAATCCGTTATAAAAGATTTGGAAGCCTTCATATTTGGATTTAGAATACGAAGCATACAACGATCATTTCCCATTACTGTACGATTACGGTGAGAACCAGAAGGGTGTGCTACTCAGAATCGAAAATTGACGCATGGGAAAACTCGGAAGGGCTGAAATTTACTTCAACGAGTAAGTCTGCGAATGTACCGTCAAGTCGTGCTAATGGTAATAATATTTGTTCTTTTCTCGTTAGATTAGTATCCAACGTCGATGAGGTAGCGTTTGGAGAAAAGACCAGAAAATATTAACACGACGGTGTACAGTATACTTTGAGAAATTCGAAAATTTTTGCGAATACTCAAATATCGCAAAAATTTAATAATATTTGTAATATATACAGGGTGTCCGTAAAGTATGTATACACTGTTTGATCGTAATATCTTTCTTCCCAACAAGTCTTTTGCCTTGCTTCAGGTACCATTTTGTAGACCTGGCTTCAACTTAGATTTACAGTATAGAGCGAATCAGCGATCACTCACTGTTACTGTAGGATTACGGTAGAAACTTGAAACATATGGTGTCAATGTGGAAAAAGCTGCCGTTTCAAAAAATTCCAAAAAAATGTGGAAACTTGTGTAACAGGGTTTCTGTGGACGCTGAGCTCAATACTCTACCATTCACAAGATTGCGAAGCTTTCTAAACGGTGTAACCGCACTTTCTAGGAACTTTGAAAATATGGCCGCTACTGCTTACTTGGCATAACTTTTTAATGAAGCATCATAATAAGCTGGAAACTCTAAATTTGGAATCAGCAACTCCAATTAGCCTAGTGTAAAAGTTTTTAGGCTGTATTGTTTCCTTTCTGAGGCAAAATATGGCCGTTCATGGCTCAAAACCCTCTTTGGTTTCTACCGTAATCCTACAGTAATGAAGAGAGATGGGTGATTCGCTTTATACTGCAAATCTAAGCTGAGCCAGCTCTACAAAAAGGTACCTGAAGCAAGGGAAAAGACTTCTCGGAAAGAGAGATATTAACGATCAAACAGTGTATACATACTTTACAGACACCGTGTATATTACATAATATATTATATACTAGCTGGCTTACCCGGCTCCGCCGTATCCGGACCAAACTTGGCACACATACACTTCGGGTCCCGGCGGGTGTCACAGTCCACTTTTCGTTATCGATCGATGTCGATTTTACCGATTTTTATCGATTTTTTTGCAGAGTTCACCTACGGGGCTAGGAGTTGGCACAGGGGGGAAGTGAGCATGGGGATTCCGAATACAATATTGGTTTTCAGGATTATCGATTACTTTTATCGATTTTATCGATTTTTTTGCAAAGTTTGAGCTACGGGGCTGGGAGTTGGCACAGGGGGTAATCGAGCATGGGGATTCCGAATACAATATTGGTTTTCAGGATTATCGATTACTTTTATCGATTTTATCGATTTTTTTTGTAAAGTTTGACCTGCGGGGCTGGGAGTTTGCACAGGGGGGTAATCGAGCATGCAGATTACGAATACAATATTAGTTTTCAAGATCGTCCATTACTTTTATCGATATCGATTTTTTGAAAATTTGAGCTAGGGGGCTGGAATTTGGCACAGGGGTGTAATCGAGCGTGCTGATCACCCCCCTTGGGGATGATCAGCATGCTCGTTTACCCCCCTGTGCCAACTCCCAGCCCCCTAGCTCAAACTTTGCAAAAAAATCGATAAAATCGATAAAAGTAATCGATAATCCCGAAAACCAATATTGTATTCGGAATCCCCATGCTCGATTACCCCCCTGTGCGAACTCCCAGCCCCGTAGCTCAAACTTTGCAAAAAATCGATAAAATCGATAAAAGTAATCGATAATCCTGAAACCCAATATTGTATTCGGAATCCCCATGCTCGATTACCCCCTGTGCCAACTCCCAGCCCCGTAGCTCAAACTTTGCAAAAAAATCGATAAAATCGATAAAAGTAATCGATAATCCTGAAAACCAATATTGTATTCGGAATCCCCATGCTCGATTACCCCCCTGTGCCAACTCCCAGCCCCGTAGGTGAACTCAGCAAAAAAATCGATAAAAATCGATAAAATCGATATCGATCGATGACGAAAAGTAGCCTATGACACCCGCCGGGGCCCGTAGTGTATGTGTGCCAAGTTTGGTCCGGATCGGTTCAGAAATGGAATTTTCTATTCGGAACATACGTACACACAGACATACAGACAGACAGACATACAGACAGACATACAGACAAACAGACATTCAGCTTTATATAGAAGGATTATATAATATATTTGTAATATAAAAATATTCGAAATTTCAAATTTTCGTCGGTTCAAACTACAGGGTGTCCCAAAAAAATGCATCGAACGTTTGATCGTTAATATCTCTCTTCTGAAAAAGTTTTTTCTCTTGCTTCAGGTACCAATCTGTAAAGCTGGCTTCAACTTAAATTTGCATTACAGAACGAATCACTCATCTCTCTTCATTAGTGTAGGATTACGGTAGAAACTTCAAAGAGGGTTTTAAGCAACGAAAGGCCATATTTTGCCTCAGAAAGATAACAAAACAGCCTCAAAATTTTTACAGTATGCTAATTAGAGTTGCTGATTGTGACTGTGAAGTTCCCAACTTATTTTGATGCTTCATTGAAGAAGTATGCCAGGTAAGAGGTAGCGGCCATTTTTTCAATGTTTCTAAAAAGTGCGGTTGCACCGTTTAGAAAGCTTCGCAATCTTGTGAATAGTTGAGTATTGAACTCAGCGTCTATAAAAACCCTATTACGCAAGTTTTCACAATTTTTTGAAAAATTTTGAAAAGGCAGCTTTTTCCACATTGACACCATATGTTTCAAGTTTCTACCGTAATCCTACAGTAATAAAGAAAGATAGGTGATTCTTTCTATAATGCAAATCTAAGTTGAAGCCAGCTCTACAAAACGGCACTTGGAGCAAGGCAAAGGACTTCTTGGGAAGAGAGATATGAACGATCAAACGTTCGATACATTTTTTTGGGACACCCTGTATAATGTACAGGTACGTATATAAGTCCTGAGGAAGCTCGTAGGAGATGGGAAACGAAGGCCTCATTTAGGGAACTTCTCGACGCCTATACTTTAAACCGAATCGAATGGTTATTCGATTATTCGGATCAATCATTCGAATGCGTATGATCGAAAATTCGAATATTCGGAAACTTAAAATTTCGAATAATATGCGATAGTCGAATATTCGAAATTCGATGAGCACCGAATTGAAAATTCGATAGGATTGACAATTCGAAAATGCGATGACTAACGAATCATAAAAAATTCGATATCCAAAGCATATACAGGGTCCCAAAAGTACTTACAACTGTTTGATCCCTAGTATCTCATTTATGAAAGCTTTTGACAACCTTTGACTTCTGCACGGTTAGCTTCAGCTTACATCTACACAAGAAACAGCGTTATATTATTGTGGGATTACGGTAGAAACTTTCAGCATTTAGAGCCACTGCGATACATGCCGTTCGAAAACTTCTCCAAAAACATTTATCACGTTTTTAATAAACATTGGAATCATTTATTTCGGTGGTACTTTTCCGTTATCCGGACCCATTTTTTCAAAAGGCTCTCATATAATACGTTCTTTAATCTGGAATTATTTTTTCATAGACTGTATGAGGGTTGCCTTCTTGCCACATATCACAAAAAACTGACACGTTTTGATCAATTTTAACATGCTCTTTTCAAAATCATTTCCAGTAAAGTGAAAGAAGATTGTGATCACCTAGAAGCTGTTTAATTGTTTTCTATAAGACAAAACAATCTTGAATTTATTTTAGAACATCTTTATTGCTTTCAGCAGTGACTCAAAATTGCTTTTTCTTCTAACCCTTTTTTGCCATGCGAATTTAGCCAGAAAATACCGTAAATGATGGGTTGGAGAACTTTGCCTTGTTTATTTCGCCTCTTAAATGACGAAATTCTTCCGCACTTCTCTATTTTAAGCAAGTCTAATCCATTCATCGATAAGAGTAGGCTATTATTATTATGACAATGTTTATTTTCTTTTTGAAAAATAGATTGAGTTTATATCGCTAGGTAGGGTAAAACAAACTCTTGTTGAAACCTGTTAAAAACATGTAGACGACATGTCAAATTTTCTTGACACGTGGCAAAAGGTTGAAACTCCTTCCTGTGAAGCTGGGAACAAATATGGTACAGGGATAGAAGCAATATCCTTCTTTGAGAAAATGGGTCCGGATAACGGAAAAGTACCATTTCGGTTTACTGGTGCGACTTACGAAAAAGGCATAATTGAATATAACTATATATTCAAACCCGTGACTTGGTAACCCTATAACACTGAATAGCGATCTACAAGTCGCTCCATAGTAAATCTATGGAAGCCAATCTATGGAAGAATATATGGAATCTATGGAAACTAAAGACCGCACTCAGAGTTTGGCAAAAGAATTTGTGGCTCAGTAATGATTGACTAGTTTTACATAGTTTTAGGACCCCCTTATATCATTTACACTCAATAAGAGTAAAGAGTAACCTTTATTCAACTGGTTTGGCCCTGGAAGGCGGGACTTCGTGATATAATTAAGGCCGCTCGCGACCCGACGCAGTCTGCTTCTCTCCCGCGCGCGTGCTATCTGATCATTGTCTAGCCTTAATTGAGTCACGAAGCTCCGCCTTTTGCGCCAAGCCAGTTGAAATCAAAGGGTACATATGTTTGGATGATCGGGTGCGCCAATCTGAATAGTATGCAGTACAGCCGTCCTTCTGTGCCGCAGTAATTGCTTGTCATTACTCACGTAGCCACGATTTGGAACAATGATCTTCTTCAAATTTCCATTTTCAAAAACATCGTTGTTGGAAAAGGACTTTATGTTCTTA